CGCGGCGCAGCAGCCCGTCAAGCCGCTGCGTGCGCCGTCGACCCGGCGCAAGGGCACCGTGCGGCGCACCGCACCCACGTCGCCCACTGGCGAGTCCATCGCCGAGGAGGACGGGGCGGAAGCCGAGGGGGGCCCGGGGACCACCGCGGTCGCGGGTTCGTTCCGCGCGGCGCTCGACACGCTGTTCGCAACGCTCGATGAAACGCAGGCGTGGCATGTCTTCTGCGTGAATCCGAACGACGCGCAGCTGCCAAACCAGCTTGAGGGGCGCTCCGTCAAGGGGCAGGTGCGCAGCGCGGGGCTCGCGCAGGTCGCGCAGCGCGCCGCGGCCGGCGTGTTCGAGGTCGGCATGGCGGTCGGCGAGTTTTGCGAGCGGTATCGCGAGGGGCTCGAGGCAGGTGGCGTGGTGGAGGGCAGCGAGCGGGAGCGCGTGGAGCAGGCGCGTACGGCGTTTGGGCTGGGGGAGAAGGATGTGGTGCTGGGTGTGCAGAAGGTGGGCGGCTCAGCTTTCACATTTCGCGCGCTATTGACATTGTTGGCAGGCATACCTCACTCAAGCTGCGTTCCATAAATTCGAGGACCAGCTGCGCTCGCGCGACGTCGAGGAGCAAAAGCGCAATCGCATGCGCGACGCCGAGGTCGACGCTGGGCTCGACCCGCGTGGGATGACATCCGACCCGTACGCGCCGTACCCGTCGCCGCTGCTTGAGGGCGAGACCTCCCCGTGGGCCGGCGGCTACGGCGACGCATACAACGCATCGAACCAGGCGCTCCCGCTCGTCCAGCACGCGTCGCCGTTCCAGCGCGCAGGCATGTACGACGACGACGGGTATGACGAGGCCAAGTCGCTGCGCGCACCCGAGTCGGACTTTGACGATGCGCGCAGCCGCTTCACGAGCGCGCACGATGGCGAGACGGCGAGCCATTTCGGGAGCGAGAGCTACGCGCCGTCGCGCAACATGTTTGGCGCGGGTGACGCCAAGGGCGGCGCGGTGCTGCTCGACAAGGACGCCGCGCTCGCGGGCGAGATCCAGGAGGGCGAGACGGCGGAATTAATCAAGGAAACGTCTGCGCGCCGTCGCTGGGTCACGCTGTGCTGGATTCTCACCTGGTGGGTGCCGAATTTCTGCCTGACGACGTGCGGGCGCATGAAGCGCATGGACGTGCGCCAGGCGTGGCGCGAGAAGCTCGCGCTGAACCTGCTTATCTGGTTCGTGTGTCTGTGCACGGGGTTTGTGATCGTCGCGCTGGGCCGCCTCATCTGCCCGACGGAGCATGTGTTCAGCACGTCCGAGCTTGCGTCGCACAGCTTCACGTTCAACCCGAACAACGTCTACACGTCCGTCCGCGGGGAGGTGTTCGATCTCACCACAATAACGTCGCTGCACGCGCGAGTCGTCAACGTCGTTCCCACCAAGACGATCCTCAAGACATACGGCGGCACGAGCGCGGACAGCATCTTCCCTATGCAGGTGTGTACGTCCATCGTATTTGACAACTTGTTCTGATATCCTGCAGGTCAGCGCGCTCTGCAACGGCGTCGACGGCGGCGTCAGCCCCTACGTCGTCTTTTCCTCGTCCAACAACACCGACGTCAACTCGCAGTACCACGACTTCCGCTTCTTCACCAACGACTCGCGCCCCGACTGGTACTTTGAGAGCATGGTGCAGATGCGCTGGACCGCGCGCGTCGGCTTCGTCGGCTACACGCCCAAGGAGCTCCACACCAAGGCGACCAACGGCAGCTCCGTCGGCGTGTACAACGGGCTCGTCTACGACCTCACGAACTACATTCAGAACCCGCGCGGCGTGCAGGCGCCCGTGGGCCAGAACGCGCCGGCGGTAGACACTAACTTTTTATCGGACAAGGTTGTCGACGTCTTCAAGTTCAGCTCCGGCGGAGATGTCACCAAGCAGATCAACAACCTCGATCTCGACGCGGCGACGCTCGCACGCCAGAAGGTGTGCCTCCGCAACTTGTTCACCATCGGCAAGCTCGACACGCGCGAGTCGGCAAAGTGCATCTTCTCGACGTACCTGCTGCTCATCCTGTCTATCATCATGGTCTCCGTCATCGGCTTCAAGTTCCTTGCGTCCATCTCGCTCGCGAGTGTCCGCGCGCCCGAGGACCACGACAAGTTCGTCATCTGCCAGGTGCCGTGCTACACCGAAGGCGACACTTCGCTGCGCCGCACGATCGACTCGCTCGCGCAGCTCAAGTACGACGACAAGCGCAAGCTACTACTCATCATCTGCGATGGCATGATCGTCGGCTCAGGCAACGACCGCCCCACGCCGCGTATCGTGCTCGACATCCTCGGCGCGGACCCGAACCTCGACCCCGAGCCGCTCAGCTTCCTCTCGCTCGGCGAGGGCACGAAGCAGCACAACATGGGCAAGGTCTACTCGGGCCTCTACGAGTGCAAGGGGCACGTAGTGCCGTACCTCGTCGTCGCCAAGGTCGGCAAGCCCACAGAGCGCTCGCGCCCCGGCAATCGCGGGAAGCGCGACTCGCAGATGCTCTTGATGCATTTCCTTAACAAGGTACGCGTCCTCACTACTCTCGATCCTCTGCTGACGTCTCTCCAGGTCCACTTCAACTCGCCGATGAACCCTCTCGAGCTCGAGATGTACCACCAGATCAAGAACGTCATTGGTGTCAACCCCACCTTTTATGAGTACGTGTTCATGGTAGATGCTGACACGACCGTGGACCAGTTCTCTGTCAACCGTCTGATCTCATCGTATGTCCGCCTCACATCGTCTTGGACTGCTCTCATCTTTTCACCAGCATGATCCACGACAAGAAGCTACTGGGCGTCTGCGGCGAGACTCAGCTGGCCAACGCCAAACAGTCGCTGATCACCATGATGCAGGTGAGCATCGTCGCCGCCTTGCCTTGCGCGATCGCTAACGACCTTTAGGTCTACGAATACTTCATCTCGCACAATATGGCCAAGGCCTTCGAGAGTCTCTTCGGCTCTGTTACCTGTTTGCCCGGTTGTTTCACGCTCTACCGCCTGCGCACGCCCGACACGCACAAGCCGCTCCTCATCTCCAACCAGCTCATTCAAGATTACTCGGAGAACCGCGTCGACACCCTGCACATGAAGAACCTCCTTCACCTCGGCGAGGATCGGTACCTGACGACGCTGCTGCTGAAGCACTTCCCGCTCTTCAAGACGCAGTTCGTGCGCGATGCCCATGCGTACACGGTAGCCCCCGACGACTGGAAGATTCTCCTCTCTCAGCGTCGTCGCTGGATCAACTCGACCGTGCACAATCTGGGCGAGCTGGTGTTCCTCGAGCAGCTCTGCGGCTTCTGTTGTTTCTCGATGCGCTTCATCGTCATGATTGATCTTGTCTCGACCTTGACGCAGCCCGTCACCGTCGCATATGTGCGTTTCCTCCTCTCACCCACTTACAACTTACTGAGTTCTTTGACGTAGATCGTCTATCTCGTATACTTGGTTGCCGCCGAAGGAGAACAGATCCAGACCATCTCCCTGGTCATGATCATCGCGATTTATGCCATCCAGGCCTTGGTGTTTATCCTCCGGCGCAAGTGGGACATGATCGGGTGGATGTTCTTCTACATCTTGGCCATCCCCGTCTTCTCCTTCATGCTGCCTATCTACTCGTTCTGGAAGATGGATGATTTCTCGTGGGGAGCGACCCGTGTCGTACTTGGAGAGTCTGGAAAGAAGATGATTGTCCACGTACGTGGTCCTCTGCGACCGATGTCATCATTTGCTAACACGTTTCCTACAGGACGAAGGCAAATTCGATCCTCGGGTCATTCCGCTCAAATCTTGGAATGACTACGTGCGTTATCCATGATCCACATTTTCCTCGACCGACTAACGCAACTGTCTAGGAAAACGAGCTGTGGGACAAGGAATCAAATCACAGCATCGGCTCCTGGGTGCCACCGCCGAAGCTCAGAGGCGACGGCTACGCCGAGTCACACACCGCGTCGCTCTACGGACGCGAAACGACATACGAGCCCCGCGGCTACTCGCCCGCGCCGTCGCAGATGGGCGGCTATGCGGCCATACACCACCCGCCGCCTGGATACCAGTCGGGGCGCAACACGCCGCAGTCCATGTTTAACCCGATGGGCGGCGATCCGGGGATGATGATGCCGCAGCCGTCGCGGCCGGTGACCAACTACCTCGACGTGCCGATCCCGACTAGCGGGAGCCCCGACGATCTGGACCTGCCGCCGGGTGCGCCGAGCGAGGCGGAGCTGGACCGCGCGGTGCAGGAGGTGCTGCGCATTGCGGACCTCAACTCGATCACCAAGCGTGAGATCCGGCGGCGGCTCGAGAGCCAGTTTGGGATGGACCTGACGTCGCGCAAGGCGACGATCAACGCGGCGATTGACAGGGTGCTGCTCAGCCGTGCTTGAGTGTGGATGGTTTTGGACAGACGCTCGTTTCATTTTTCCAGGACCCTCTTTCCCGTATTTTTGTCTATCGCTTTTTAGTATGTTTATATGGACCACGGCTGCTATGGTCTCTCATCGCACTTGTCACGTCCGGACACTCTGCACCACACACTCATGTTCCCTACATCTCCAGTAATAATTGCAATAGATCATTCGTTACCAGTTACAATATGTTTAGAATTGCTGAGACGACTGTGACAACCGCGACGGTTATGGACGATAACGTGTCATGTATGCGCTTCTGATTGTGGACGTCGACATTGATTGCGGGAGTGGACCATCGACTGACATTTGAATGAATGGTTTACGTTGGAACAAATCGGTTATTTGACCTTGGAAGCCTCAGCAAAAGGCACGTAAGTAATTATGTCAAGCATTGAGCAACCCCATCATTTGGTGATCAATGGCGTTGGGTTGCCTGGGCAGCAACCCACGGTAAATTGAGGATATCAAAAATTAGGGCGAGTACAGATCAAAAACTGAAAAGAAAGAAAGGAGTGAAGCAACGACGATCAAAAAACAGTGGTTGGCATAGAGAAGGCGCAAAAAGGGGCCTTGCTGGGAATCGAACCCAGGTCACCTGCAGTTGCCACAAAAACCCAAAGCAGGTATCTTGCCTCTGGACCACAAGGCCACAGATGAAAGGGTCCACCTTGCACTGGTTGAGCATTTCAATTTTTTCACCTTCTTTTTCAGTGAAAAATGTTGTTTATTTTTCAGACATTTTTCACTGAAAAAGAAGGTGAAAATTTTAAAACTTTTTCAGCACTTTCTCGATTCAAGGTGAAAAATTCGAAATAAAATAAGAAAGTGATGAAAATGTTTTGAAATTTTCACCTGCTTTTTCAGTGAAAAATGTGTGAAAAATAAACGACATTTTTCACTGAAAAAGAAGGTGAAAAAATTGAAATGCTCAACCAGTGTTGTGAATAGATGGCTTTGCGTGATACACCATTACCAAATTTCTTCTTTCTCCGATTTTCACGCGGGCTGTCTCGAGAGCAACCCACGGACACTCGCGATGGTCACCTCGTTCCTTCTTCTGAATCTTCTTCGGCTCCCAGTACCTGAGCTCCGCAGCAAGTTTTTTTGACCGCCTGCGCACATGAATTAGTGTGAAGAGCTGTGAACGGATTCAGTCTACGGATTCACGGAGGCTAGTGAGTGGTAGGCTGATTTTTTTAGCGAGTGGTAGGTCTCCAGACGTAGCCGAATATTAAATCACAAGTACATGTAAGTAACGGCCTTCTGACCCAGCGACTTTAAATTTTGTGAATGATTTCTGATTTAGAACTGATGGCCATGTGGAGCATCTCTTGTCAACATTTTGTCTCCGTGCCGACTTGCCGCCTTCTTCTCCGCGTCCATCTCGCGACCGTTCTGCGTGCGAATCCTCGCCAGGTGTCCCCTCAATACCCCCTGGCTGGGTCTTGCCACACCTTGTCCTCCGCCCCCATGGCTCCCCTCCCGGATGTCCACCTCTCGTACGTCTCACACCCCACCGCCTGCGTCGTCACTGATCATGCTGTGCGCAGCTATGGCCCGATGCTCATAGGTGCGCGCTCCCGACCGAGTGCGAATGTGTAAATTTGAAATAGAGCCCCAGGTGTATTTTTCAACATGATACTTTACGGGGTCCGTGCTTTGTTCTTCTTCCCATCCACATATCCTTACATCGCGCCACTCCAGGTCTTCATCGGTCAGGTTTGTGCTAGACGCCGCTCCTTTGACGCGCGGGAGACTCAAACCACCCGCAGGTGCTAACGTATTACCAAATTTGCCGCAAGTGCGTGACTGACGGCTCTCCATGACGCAGCCACTGACTTGTGTGCAGGGATGGCGCCTGGATGCGATACTTTGTGCGCGTGCCCACCTTGCTCTCGTTCTTCCGCGTTAACTCCGTCGCAGGTCCTCTATCTCTTCGTGCTGGAGACCTTAAACACGGGGTTTGACATGGCCATGATGTATCAGCCGCTCATCCTGCAGTACGGTGCGCCCCGAGTCCTGTCGTTTGTGGGCGCCACTCACGACCATGTCCAGGCGAACAACTAGACTATTTTCCTACCGGTGCGCTATCCTCTGGCGACGTGCTGCTGTTTCCTGACCTCTTCATCTCTAGTGTTCATCACAGGTGAGGACGTGTGATGCTAATTGTCCGAGGTCTTCCTGACAAACCATGGCATTCAGAGCCAATGATGGTCGTGCGTGTGTCCCTCGCTCCGCTCTTCTACGAGTCTCACGACGTCGCCAGGTCCTCGTATCGACACCCATCCAGATCTTCTTCGCCTGGCGAATATGGACGATAACGAAAATGGTGTGGGTCCCCGTCATCATCACAGTCTTTGCGATCGCGGCCCTCGGTGTGTCTGACAATCACCTTGATTTTTCTGATTGCTCACATGCCACCTCAGCGGGCGGCCTATGGACAGCAGGTACCTTGATTCTTCGTGTCCTTGCGCTCCCGTGCTGACGACCACCGCCCAAACAGCCAAAGTCGGTCTCATCAAGGAGTTCATCCACAAGCCGGAGCTGCACACCTCGGCACTCCTCTGGTTCCTCTCCTCCTGCGTCGCGGACGTGCTCATCACAATCTCGCTTGTCATGACATTAGTGGGTACCAGCCAACTCTATTAGGCAGTGATCGTACACTAATTTGCCGATGTCAGTCAAGTCGCAAGACCGGTTTTGTCGCCACTGACTCCGTCATTGACAAGATCATACGAAGTGCGTACACCCAACATTCCTCTGACCCCGCCTATATTCATTCCCTCCACAGCGACCATCCAGACTGGTCTCATCACGTGCGCGCTCACCATCGACAATCTGAGTGCTATCGCCGCTAACCTCCGCGTCTATAGCTCCGTCTTCAGCATCCTCGATGTCGTATGCTTCATGGTCTTTCCTGTGCGTCTCTTCCCTCTTCCCCCGCTGTCGCCGCTGACCTCGTTCTCGCTTAGCACTATGCCATGTGAGCCCAGCTTCGCCGCTCTGCCGCACCACATCTGACTGACGCCTCGCAGAAACTTCGTCTGGGACCTCGCGCTCTCCAAGCTCTACTCCAACGCGCTCCTCTCGACGCTCAACGCGCGCTCGAGCCTCGCCTCCATCTCGACCTCGCGGCCGACGGGCTCCGCGGCCGGGCAGGGCTCGCACCCCGGCACGCAGCTCAACCTCGTCTTCGAGGACATGGCGCTCGTCATGGGCACGACACCCGTGACGACCAAGGCCGAGCCCGAGTGCGCGGAGACGTCGACGGACAACTCGGAGATCACGGAGACGCCGCGCTCCGCCGCGGGCTTCATGCTGTACAGCGGGGTGCGTCCCTGTCCATTCATTCGTTCCGTCTTTCGGTGGCGCTGATGGTGACTGACGGTCGCATGGCAGGGCTCGTCCTCGACGCGCGGCCTGGATCCGTAGCAGACGGCCGCCGTCAGTCGGCATATCTTTCGTTCTCTTCACATCCGGCGGATCGGGCCTCCCAACCCGCCGTCTTGCATCGGCTCGGGCTCACACATGTACTTGTTCACGCATCCATCCATCATCATACCTTCGTTTCGCTACTGCTTGCTCCTTGGAATCGCTCTACAAGTTATATCTATCTATCCTTATGTCGCATCGTGTAGTAATGCTGTTCGCTTTCGTGTACTTTTAATTCACTTTGGATCATCCGAATTTCATGAACGACTGTGGCTACTCCGATGGGGTAAATCCCATGAGGTCTTCGGGTGGTGCGCAGAGGTCCAGGGGCGATGGCGTAGTCTACTTTCGCTGGAGTACCGGCGTTCGTTATTCGGATGGTGCGGTGTAATGCTACCTACCTACCGAGATACGGTAACAGCATAGTGCCTCTCCACCACTACGGTGGTGCGCAGCCGGAACACAGCCTGCGCTGACGTCGGTATCGGTTTGGAAGGATCACTTCGTCATGCACGACGATGTTTCGGGCAAGGCACTGGCGTAGCTGTTCAAGTATAGAATATGGCATCTGGTCGGCCTCATTCTCGTCGATCCAGGGGAAGCCGTCTGTGGCATCAAACACAATCCTCATGATTTGTAGGGACAGGAGAGAGGCGATCCATGGAATCTAGATCGGACCAGACATGACCGTCTCGGCGTGCCCCGCGGCGTGCTTCCGCACAGAGGAGAACGGTTATTGTGAAGGTCTTCAACGAACCAAGGTGTTTCACGCATTGGCGTACCACGGGTAGTATCTGGGCCAAGTTACTCCGTATAGAAAGGTCCTTGAGTCCTGTGTTGCGTTTGAGCAAGTCGTCTTGCGCGAACTTGAAGGGCCGATCATCTAAACGAACATTGATTGAGTTATGCTGCCCGATAAGATCAGGAGATCCTAGAGCATACATCGTGGCGAATCATCACAGCTGAGACTCAAATACGCCAGTGACCTGCCGAGGCTCGCGATGTATGGAGCGCATTCGTTATTATCGTGCGACACGTGGAGTTTGAGAGTCGATATAGCGATATCACTGCCCCGAAACCATGTGAAGAATGGCTCTGTGGCGACGGCGTCGGAAAGATCAAGGAGCCACAATGTCGTCGGTGCTTTCCAAGCAGCGTCGGGCGGCTGCACCGCCGCATCACGCCGTGTCCCGCTCAAGGAGGTTTTCAGTTTCAACATCTCTAACATCGGGAACGAAGCGACAAATTCATGAACCTCGCGCTCACGAAGACCAAAGCCACCGGTCAACTCGAGGGTGGTAATCGGCTCGCGCATGCTGTGCTGCAGGACCTGTCCTGGAGGAAATGTGAATCGGTTGGTAGCAAGGACAAGCTTGCGAAGACATGGCGGGAAGTTCTTGTCCAATTTCGGAAGCACAGTACTAGTGGTCATCTAGCGATCCTCTGCGATGCCGCCGTGCAATTCGAGCACTCGGATGAAAGGCAAGAATGTGAGGCGATTTGGTCTCCTGAACAGTTTCGCGAATGCGTGGGGGTTCCATTTTTTTACACGGACCGTATGAAAGCTCGTCTGCTCGACGGCAGCCACCCCCTGCATACAAGGCCACACCGAGCCGCAGTCACGGTCGCAGTCGCAGTTTTTATCAAAGCCATGTTTTCCGGGTCCTGTGGGTCTCCGAAATCCAGTGAAATCGGATGCACAAAGGATGTAAAGAGGTCGACAAGTTCGGCAGCGAGCTGAGTCATAGTTATTGGCCAGCCACTTGAAAACTGCGGAAGGTTCCGGTCTCTAAGTGAATTAACAAGCTACAAGTTACATGACCAACTCACACGAAAACTGTCAGTAATATAAGTATAGTTTTCCTTTTTCAGGCTAACTCGGGTTGTATATTCCAACCGGCACAAATATTGGCTGGCAATTACCAAGTGAGCAATGCATGCGCAAGAGCTAAGTGTTGTGAAGTTGGAACAAGTTGACGTAAAGCTTATGATTAATTTGATCCAATCAACCGGCGACCACCGAACAACTAGGATCCTCTCAGGATTCTGTTCAGTCCAACAAACGTGGTGAGGGTTCATATTACGATACGCTAGGAGTCCCCGGTTCGATTCAAATGTCTGGCTTGGTCATGGATACTGTATTAGACTTGCTCGCTCGCTGGCTATCTTCTCCTGACTCGGAATCCCTGACTTCGCTTCCCGTCGCAACTTCTCCTT